TACCTGTTGATGCATGCCTCGTCTGAGTGCATTGCTTCTAGGAATTCACGGCGAAAATTTACGCAATAAAATTGAAAAAATTCCCAAAGAAATTCTTATTCTTTAATTAGACATGTTAATAGAAAATACATGAGAAATGGTGATTGGGAGTCAGCCAGGGGGAAATTGACACAATCTAATTAAGTAACTGCGCAATCTTCGTCACGCTTCGCTTGTCAAGATTTTGGCAGTTATTCCTCTTTTCCATCTTTTTCTGGACAACTAGCTTATGAGAAAGACTTGTGCCGACCATTCTGCGTCATAATAGCCCTTAGTGGTCACCAGAGCAGGTTTTTTGTCTTCACAGACGTTTCGGAGAGCTGAGTCGGATTTTTTTGTCAAAGTCTAAATCGCCGTTATCGATCAGCAGTGTGAAGGTGCGGCTGTAAGTGCATACCGTAGGTTGATCGATTTTTTCCTCGTTTGTTTGGCGTAGGCTGACGGCTGTTGCACCAAGTGTCAAGGTCACATCTTGTCGGCCAGAGGCTATTGATCGCTTGATTTAAAATTCACACATATGCCTGGCAAGTTATTTCATCCCCTGAGGCCCACAGTAATAATGGCCCCTAGACTGTGCAGAGGGCGAGGATGTCCTCGTTTCGCTGGCATTACTCTAACGTACCTCCTCAGTTTACTTTTTCTTCAAAAAGCGCCGGAAGCTGAGGCAGCGGTAGTTCTGGAAGACCTCTCCATTTTGCCTACCTTCAATGTGGGCATGCGCAGCCAGATAAAACATCCGGAGACTAAAGCTCTCGTGGCCAAAGTGGTATCTGCTGAGGTCAGGTATACTACGGAACAAATAAACGTGCGTATTCAATATGAGGCCTTAACAAACGAATTCTACGCAAACTGCTTTCTCAACGGTTCCGACTTTATGGCTGAGTTTATAAGGTATAAACTGCGAATAAGAAGGCGTGCAAGTGAGTACATGGCGGATATTTACATCAAGCGACGGAGACAATATGGCCTGTTCATGCTTTCCTTCAAATTAGAACCGCGAAAGTTTACTGATCGCCTGATGGTGCAGTATGCCGTTAACCTCCAGGACAGTGGTAACAGGGCCGTCACCAAAGGTTGCCCCAGTTCGTTTCACATATTTCCAAGCATCAAGACCATGCTCATCCAGTTCTTAGTGGAAGAATTTACACCAATGCACATTCATTGGGAAAAAATTATCGTTTTTAAACGGGTGCATGTGAGAGCAACGGGCGTCTCTTTGATTCACCTACCTCTACTTGTAGTGACTCGAAAGCCCTTTAAGGCGACATTTCTCACCCTGTGGTCCTTCCAGGATTTCGTTGGCTCCTTTGGTACAGATGGCTTCCTCCGCCTGCAAGGTTCAACTGTAAGTCCAAAAAGATAGAATCCACCTCATGAAACAGGTTTAACTTAACAAAATATAATCAAATAAAATTGTATATGTATATTTGAAGGGGAACAGGCAAGGAACGTTCTTGAGGATTCTATTAGTCAATATGAAGTTCAAGACCGTTAACGTAACACACATTTGAGGGAGTTGTCGCGAGACATTGCGAAACAGTATCAAAAAAAGCTAGAGACTGGAAAACGTCTATAAGACTGGCAGTAAGAAATCATATTGTAATAGTCACCTTTTTTTCAAATATTGTGCACTAAAGTCTTTTTTGAAATCCGTCATGGTGTCGGCGGAAACCGCCTCGTTTGGTACCGAGCCCCAAGGTCTTACAACTCGTTGGCTGCAGAAAAACTGTCTGAGGTCCAATCTAGTGCGCTCGTTTGTGATCTTATAAGGATGGCCACGCAGGTAAGTTGCGTTGGCTAACTCTAAGAAGTCTTCCAATCTCAGAAAAGAAGTATTGCCCCAGATTATCCGAAATTTCCAGAGCAGGCTATACTGTTAGTGCCTGTGATGCAAGGGAAATACGTCAAGCTTTATCAATCTCTCCTGGTAGGACTAATCTATAAGACCGTCTACCATCTTCGTCGCTCTCCGTTGCACTTGTTCGAGAAGGTCTTTCTTCAACCACGGTACCCAGACTGGCATACCGTTATAGAGGTGTATTCTCCCAAATGTGTCACATATTTTTCCGAAACCTGAAACCAGTCAAACCTATTCCGCCAGAACCCCAAACTAATAAGTACCAATTT